GGAGGGAGACCAACTGTCTCTGCTCCCAATACTAAGTCCTGCTGCTGGGGAAAGGAGACTGGGCTCTCTATTCCCGGTAGGACACTCTGCCGCTGGGGAATGGAGACTGTGCTCCCAATTCCCAATAATTCGTACTGCCGCTGGGGAATGGAGACTGTGCTCCCAATTCCCAATAATTTGTACTGCCGCTGGGGAATGGAGACTGGGCTCCCAATTCCCAATAACTCATACTGCCGCTGGGGATCTGAGCCGACCGCCCAGCATCCCTGTAGCTCACCCTGCCACTGGGGAGGGAGGACGCTGCTCTCCTCTCACTGCAAGGTACACTGCTGCTGGGGAACAGGACCACTTGTCTCTGCCCCCTGTAACTCAGCCTGCCGCTGGGGAATGGAGCTTGGGCTCCCAATTCCCTGCAATATCTCCCACTGGGGAATGGAACTTGGGCTCCCAATTCCCTGCAATTCACTCTGCTGCTGGGGGACAGAAGCAACTATCTCTGTCCCCTGTAACTTAGCCTGCCTCTGGGGAATGGAGCTTGGGCTCCCAATTCCCTGCAATATCTCCCGCTGGGGAATGGAGCTCGGTCAATGGAGAGACCTCGGTCCCATCTCCACCCGCCACCTGTGGTTCTTCCCAGTAATCCTCCCCAATATCTACCCAGCTGAATGGGTCTGGATCTGGGTCTCCGCTTCCCTGCTGAGCCTTCTCACTGGAGTGGAACAGATCTTGGTAGCCCTGCTCCAGCTCCATCTCTCGGGTCACCAGGTGGACCAGGTCTTGCTCAATTTCGTGAGTGTCGTCCCAGTCATACCTGCTCTCCCTCCACTCCAAGATATCACTGAACCGGGCTTGTGTAGGGCTCCCAAATTCAGGCTCTGAAAAAGCCTCCCATAACAAGCCAGGACCATCAAACTCCTCTCCCTCTGGCTTGTCATGCTCGACTGTCCAGGGCAGGTACTGTGCCCCATACCACCAGAGCGCCTGGTAGGCATCTTCCAGCCAAATCTCCTGCCATACTCGGAGCTCCAATTCCTTCACCCATTCATCCAGGGGCTGCTCTCCCAGAAAGGGCATCCGCAGGGCTACTCGCTTCTGCAGTCGCTGGTCTTCCTTGGGGAGTCTCTTGCCCCGCTGGTACTCCACATTACCCAGTGCCTGGTACCAGATGCCTTTGCGCCACGCATCTCGGTCATCCAGGGCACCCTCGTCATACTCCACTGCTGGTTCCATCTCGGTGCTGTCAGGGTCGCTTTACTGGGACATGCGTTGCCCTCAAATTGTAAAAATCCACGGAATGGTGTCGCCTGTAGCTGTCCTGTAGTCTGTGGGAACGATCCCACCGCTGCCACCAATTGTAATGGACCGTTTTACACACAAGGGGTAAAAACCATTTAGGCGATCGTCCCCCTTTCCAGAGATGCAGGCACAGCTATTGTAGAACACCAAACACATGAACCTTCAATAAGTGAATGCTCCAAACTCCCGAACGGCATCCAATATAGCACTCCAAACACACGAACAGGAACCATATGAATCGCTGCTAGCAGATGAATAGGAAAAGCATCCAAGCGGCTTACACTCCTAGCAATCAGTCTCTATCAGCGTTCAGTAAATCCTCCCTGTAACGGACCGTTTTGCACATAAGAGGTAAAAACCGTTTAGGCGATCGTCCCCCTTTACAGAGATGCAGGCACAGCTATTGTAGAACACCAAACACACGAACCGCCAATAAGTGAATGCTCCAAACTCCCGAACGGCATCCAATATAGCACTCCAAACACATGAACAGGAACCATACGAATAGCTGCTAGCAGACGAATAGGAAAAGCATCCAAGTGGCTTACACTCCTAGCAATCAGTCTCTATCAGCATTCAGTAAATCCCCCCAAAGACGAGACAAGGCTCTGTGTTGAGGGTCAAGCAGTGGTCTGGTTTAATGAGGGTATTTATGCAGGTCTCCCACCTGGTGGACACTCCTCTAGGGGACCAAATGGGAGACTGTGACAAAAGACAGACAAGTTGACAAATAGGACACACAGTCACATTATATTCCCACAATGCATCCTGGCTTCCTCCCCTCTGCCTTGGAGATAATTGAGAAGTAATTCAATTATCTCCCAAGACAAAGGCAAATCAATGGGGATACTAAAACACGAATTACTGTTAAAATACACCATGTAAGACACATTACAATAAACTTATACATTTAACATGTCCCCAGATAGCTCAGGTCTGAGCGCACATTATTAAGCGAATGGCGCTCAGACCACACGAATACAGTTTAATCGCCATGGAGCTAAAGTCTGGACACAGTCAGTTTCATGCGAATGGGCTCCATGGGATTCCTATCTGGGGTATAACATAGACAAGTAAAGCTACCGAACACCGGCCATTCGTGTACTTTCACCGAAAAAGAAGGGAGGTCGGCGGCTTCAGCGGTGTTTGCGCAAAACTGTGTGTGATTTTAGTTCCATGAATTAAGCATTGAATACCGCTGTGCATTCGCATGTTTAAAATGGCCGCGACCTCGTGTTTGGGATACGAATGGCGGCCACCCAACATTCGTCAATTAAGCTGCGGTTAACCGCAGCTTCAGGGAGGTTAATTGCCGGCACACTCCAGCTCCCAGGTGGTCTATTCATTCGTGCGGTTGTTCGGTAGATTGAATCTACTGAACTCCCTGTAGAAAAGCACGAATAAAGTTTTTCTGCCGGCGAAACAAAGTCTTTTAATATGGGGGCCATAGTCCAAAGCCAGCAGGCGAGCAACCAGGCTTCTCCAATGCAATGTGGCGAGATTGATCTTGTCACAATTAGTTTCAGTGGCTGTAATAAACTTAATTATCTTCAGGTACAGAAAATATCTCTAAGTTACAACTGCAACAAAACACATTAAAATACATAACTTATATTCCACATAACTGAACCCCCACATTTGACATATCCCCAGATAGCTTGGAGCTTGGATCGCTCAATATATCTGAACAGCACTAATATCCCACGAACATAGTCGAATCGCCATAGGGTTCATGTGTTTTCACCGACCGTTCGGCAGAAATCTGTTCATAATTACGTCCATGGCTTTTAGCTATCAGGGTCGGTCTATTTTCAATGTTAAAAGTGCACTATTGTACAAGGAAGGGTGGGGTCAGACAATTGCAAGGGCTGAGGGGAGATTGAGGAGTGACAAAGCAGTCAGTTTAACCCCTTAAGGACACATGACATGTGTGACGTCATGATTCCCTTTTATTCCAGAAGTTTGGTCCTTAAGGGGTTAAAACTGGTCTGGCAGTGTCCCTGGGACAACGCCCTGCTGGGGAAACAATAGGGCAGGAAAAAGGAGAAGGGGAATGTTGCGGAGCTGCACAGGGCCGGTGCAAGGATTTTTGTCGCCCTAGGCAAAAGAAAGATTTGCCGCCCCGCCCCCCATCCCCCCCGAGACATCGCAATGCCCCACCCATATGATCTGCCATATAAACTAATGCCAGTGCTGCACATAGTGTGTGTTTACATTAAAAAGCCTGCAGGGACCGGCTATAGACACCAGAACAACTTTATTAAGCTGCAGTGGTTCTGGGGACTATAGTGTCTATTTAATGTGAGGTAAATTAGAGATTAGTGTCAAAGATTATGGGCCCACGCGCTCGACGACCAAACCCCGCTGGTGAGACAAAGGATCCAAGATCGCCGACCGCCGCGTGGTCGGTAGCCGAACGATGGCCACCTAGGAAAGCCTCTAAATACCGATTGAAACATTGTTACAATCGGTTAATGAGCGCCACACGTGCCTCTATGTGTGGGCTATTAGGGGGTAGCTCATTCGGTTCACGAACAGCCTGTAAGGTTGCTGTTCGTGAAACGAAACACATGAATGCTAGCGGCTTTCGGCTGCTTGCATACGAATTCAATGCAAACATACATTAACACACAGTGTACCGCCAGGTTATACAAGAAGTTACAGGGATTAATACAGGCAACCTTTTTATGCACATAGTCCAGAATATTACAAGTGGCTAGGTTTGCCATAGGGAAGAGGCACATTTTCCCATGGAAGTCATTTTTAAACATGTCTTTTTGCAGGGCCCATAATCTTTGGGCAAGAGGCTGGCAAGCAGGCCTCTCCAAATTACAGTGACGAAGGTGCTTTCATCACAGTGCGCAGTAGTGATTGAGTAATAGGATAGTCGGTGTTTGCAGTACTGATTGAGTAATAGAATAGTTGGTGTGTGCAGTACTTATTGAGTAATAGGACAGATTTTGTGTGCAGTACAGATTGAGTAATAGTGTAACGGCACCCCCAGGCATAAAAGGGGTTAAAAGCCGTTTAGGAGATATTCCCCTTCCAGATATACAGGCAGCTACCAAAGACACCAATCCACCAAACAGGAAACCATATGAATGCCGTAAACAGCCGAATAGGAAAAACCATCCGAATAGGTTTATACTCCTAGCAAAACACAGTGAGTCCAGTATGGACTGGATAAAAATCCAGACCGTACTAGTCAAGTGAGTGGAGCGCTGAACAATCACACTTACCCTTAATTAGGGTTCAATTTCAGATGTATATATGTACATGCAAATAAAACAGAGAAATACAACACAATATAGTGTAAATCCGTGAGTAGAAGAAATCTTGTGATAATATATCAATAGTCAAACTCACATGGATTAGAGCCTCATAAAAGGACAGGCTCAAATCTCTTCAGCATTAGTATCGTATGAAGACACTGCACCCTTTAACTGGAGTAAATTTCCTCAAAGAAAAAAGAGAAAAAACAAAGGAGGAAGACCTCCTAGTGTACTATGTATATAATAGGTAGTGCACAGACAGTGATTATGATAGTGCTCACCTGATTCAGAGCCAATGAGAACCTGGCTCTAGATGGTAGACTTGAGTGCCTTTAAAAGGGGGCACTTACCCTTCTTTTACAGCAAGATAGGACCAAAGGCCAATAGGGATATGTATAAAAAATAACAAATTTATTGTAAATATAAAAACAAAGTAAAATACTTGTGCAAAAAGTAGCTGTAAAATCCCAAATCTGGCTTCAGCTGAAGCCAGATTTGGGATTTTACAGCTACTTTTTGCACAAGTATTTTACTTTGTTTTTATATTTACAATAAATTTGTTATTTTTTATACATATCCCTATTGGCCTTTGGTCCTATCTTGCTGTAAAAGAAGGGTAAGTGCCCCCTTTTAAAGGCACTCAAGTCTACCATCTAGAGCCAGGTTCTCATTGGCTCTGAATCAGGTGAGCACTATCATAACCACTGTCTGTGCACTACCTATTATATACATAGTACACTAGGAGGTCTTCCTCCCTTGTTTTTTCTCTTTTTTCTTTGAGGAAATTTACTCCAGTTAAAGGGTGCAGTGTCTCCATACGATACTAATGCTGAAGAGATTTGAGCCTGTCCTTTAATGAGGCTCTAATCCATGTGAGTTTGACTATTGATATATTATCACAAGATTTCTTCTACTCACAGATTTACACTATATTGTGTTGTATTTCTCTGTTTTATTTGCATGTACATATATACATCTGAAATTGAACCCTAATTAAGGGTAAGTGTGATTGTTCAGCGCTCCACTCACTTGACTAGTACGGTCTGGATTTTTATCCAGTCCATACTGGACTCACTGTGTTTTACTTCCATATCTTAGTGGGGGATAGAGAGCACCCACTAGAGTGTGTAGCTGCTTGTATACCACATTATTATTCTTATAAGCGCACTAAACACAGTAATCATTATTGTTTGCATTTTATACTCCTAGCAGTTGAACTGGAACAGCATACAATAAATACCCCCAAGAACGAGACAAGGCTCTGTTTTGAGGGTCAAGCAGGAACAGACAGAGCTGTGGGTTTATTTTTTTATATACACATTCTTACACATTAGTACCACGAAGAGGGTTTTGGAAAACAACCAATAAACACGTAAAATACACTCAGACAGACCCACACAAAATCCTCCCCTCTGCCTGTGATACAATTACCTTACACAATGGGTAATGTAATTATCACAGGCAGAGAAATACAGTTTTTCCACATTATTCATAATTTTAAATGTATGCATCACATTCACATAAACTTACATTTTCAGATTCAGCATACTCCAAATGCAAACATACGTCAAAATCATACAAATTGGTTCAGTGGTTCAAAAGATAGATTGTAGTCCTTTTTGACCAAATGAAGCATGGCTTTTCTGCCCAAAACCAGTTCCACAGAGTCCTTCTATCCTGGAGATAATTGGGAAGTAATCCAATTATCTCCAAGGACAGAGGCAAAACTCCATTGAACACATGGCAGCAAAAGACAATAAAACACATAAAAATATATAACTGTGCAGCCATTGCACAAAACAGGTACATTCAACATATCCCCAGATAGCTCAGATCTGAGCGCACATTATTACTGAATGGCGCTCAGATCAGACACATACAGTCCAATTGCCATGGAGCCAAAGTCTTTCCCATAGTCTTTCATTATACGAATGGGCTCCATGGCATAGCTATCTGGGGTATCACCGCTCAAACAAGGGAAACACCGAATGACCTGGCTTTTATGTCTTTGCAGGGGAAAATCAAGCGTTTCAACATGAGACCATAGTCTAAAGGCAGCAGGCAGGCAACCAGGCTCCTCCAATGCACAGTGGCGAGATTGGTTTCGTCACAAATAGGATAGTCGGTGTGTGCCTGAGTAAGTAGTTTAAGACCAGTTTGACAACTTACCTGGGTCTTGGTAAACATGCACACTCTAAAGCCCCAATACACACTACAGCCCTACCAACACACATGATCTCTTCCGCCCTTACCGACACACACATATACACGCTAACACTATCCAGTCCCTAATGACACACACACACACATACATACACATTTTCCAGCCCCTAAACAAACAGTCTCTACAGACACTACCGACATGCACATGCACACAAACTACAGCCCCTAAACACATGCACATTTTACAGCTCCTACCGACACAGACATACACATTCTACAGCCCCTAAGCACACAAAATCTCTATAGACTCTAAAGACAGACATACACACACACACACACACACACAGGGCCGGCCTTAGGCCTTTAGGTGCCCTGTGCGAAAAATCTTCACAGCGCCCCCCCCCGTCATCCATGTATGATGTAATGTTTGTATTGTCTGTGTATGTGATAGGTGTGATGACTGTGTGTAATATGTATGCTATGTGTTGGCTGTGTGTGATATTTGCAATGGCTGTATTAACAGTGTGTGAAATGCTTGTATTGGTTGTATGTGATATTTGTGCTGGGTTTATTGGCTGTGTGTGATCGTTATTTAATTCAGATAAAAATATGCTTTTAGGCCTGTATGTGAATGCAGGTGTATATTTTTGCAGAGTTATGTGCACACAGTCCCACTGTCAGATGCACACAGTTATACATATACACTGTCAAATCCACCACATGCACATAGTCGCAGGCAGATACACACAGGCACAGTCAGTAACACACATACACAGTTACAGGTAGATAAACACATTCACACACAATTACAGGCAGACAGCCACACACACCTAGACAGCTAAACACACACACACACACACACAAACACACAAACACACACACACAGCCACACATACAGTCTTACAAACACACACACTTACATGCAGACAGTCTCACACACACACACAGACAGCCACACACACACAGGAAGACAGCCACACACACACAGAGACACACAGGCAGACAGTCACACACAAGCAGACTCACACACAGGCAGACAGTCATACACCCACAGACACACAGTCACACACACAAACACACACACACAGGCAGACAGTCATACACACATGTAACGAACCACAGGCACTCCGATCGAGTACCTCTGCCAATCGATGCTCTTAGCACTTGCCGAGGACTCAGAGCACTGTGGACCCCACTTCCAGTGATGGAGCTGCGCCGTGGTCTCGCCATCTCTCACCCACTCTGGATCCATACACACACAGGAAGACAGCCACACACACACACACACAGACACACAGGCAGACAGTTACACATAAGCAGTCATACACACACACAGGCAGACAGTCACACACACAGGCCGTCATTCACACACACACAGACACACAGTCACACACACAGGCAGACAGTCATACACACACAGGCAGAGAGTCACACACACACACAGGCAGTCATACACACACAGAGACACACAGTCACACACACAAGCAGACAGTCATACACAGACACACAGTCACACACACAGACTCACACATACACACACACAGACTCACACACAGGCAGACAGTCATACACACACAGTCACACACACAGACACACACAGAGAGACAGTCATACACAAACACACACATGTAACGGACCGCTGGCACTCCGATCGAGTACCTCTGCCAATCGATGCTCCTAGCGCTTGCCGAGGACTCAGAGCACTCCAACTCCAACAGCACTATGGATCCCACTTCCAGTGATGCAGCTGCGCCGGGGTCTCGCCGTCTCTCACCCACCCTGGATCCATGACCAGGATCCAGCTCCCAGTGGGTGAACCTCTCCTAAATCCAGAGAGCGTAGCAGGAACAAATCAAGCTCTTACAAGAGCTTACTCTGGGGAGTAAGTGATTATAGCAATCCCCAGAGTGTAGGTATCCCTTCCCCCAAACATGAGCCAAGGCTTCAAGAAAGGTGCAAGTGGGTCTGGTTTATCGAGGGCTACCTGCCTGGTATTTATGCAAGTGTCCACCAGGTGGACACTCCCCTCGGGGACCTGATGGAACAATGGGACACATATTGGATATTAGCCAATCACAGATAATACAAACAAAACACTCCCACAGTGACATCACAATCCCTCCTCTCTATCCTGGAGATAATTGGCAAGACTCCATTAACCACATGGTTACAAAAAGACAAAAAAATAACACAATGTTACAATTACTACATAAAACATATACATGCAACATATCCCCAGATAGCTTAGATCTGAGCGCACATTATTACCGAATGGTGCTCAGATCACATACATACAGTTCAATCGCCATGGAGCCAAAGTCTTTTCCATAGTCTTTCATTACACGAATAGGCTCCATGGCATAGCTATCTGGGGTAGCACTACTCACATACTGAAAGTCCTGAACACACCGGTAAAAATACACAAATAAACCTTTCTGCAGGGTAAAATACAGCTATCAGCACAGGGGCCATAGTCGGAAGGCAGGAGGCTAGCCAGTAGTCCCCTCCAAGCACAAGTGGCGAAGGGCACTTCGTCACAACACACACACACAGACACACACACACATACAGGCACACACACAGGCAGACAGTCATACACACACACACAGACACAGCCAGACAGTCATACACTGTTATGGCTCCCCCGGTAGGAGAGGGGTTACAGCCGTATAGGACGTTCCCTTACCGAACGTAGAGGTAGCCACTGAGCGCTCCAATTGCCGAACAGTAGCCGTACAGATCAGTTAGTTCCCCAAACAGCCGAACAGCAATCACACGAATCAAGTATTCTCCCAAACAGCCGAACAGCAATCATACGAATCAAATATTCTCCCAATCAGATGAACAAGCGTACTCCATACGAATAATCCCGCCAACGAGACAAAGCTCCGTATTGAGGGTCAGCAGGAATCTGGTTTAATGAGGGCTACATGCCAGACTTTTATGCAAGTTTCCCATCTGGTGGACACTCCCCTAGGGGACCAAATGGGGGACTGTGACAAGGACATTGTAGCAACCAATCACAGGGTACACACTTAGCCATTCCCCTTTTCTTACCCAGAACCCTCTGCTCTGCTCAGGGAGATAATTGTGAAGTAATTCAATTATCTCCCAGGACAGAGCCTAAACGCCATTTTAGGTGACAATAACAAAAGACATAAAAATACATAACTGTTACATTTTACAACATATTACAGGTCATATCAACAGGTCCCCAGATAGCTAGGATCTGAGCGCACCAAAGTACCGAATAGCGCTCAGTTCCTATGCACATAGTCCAATCGCCGTGGAGCCAAAGTGTTCACAAAGTCAGTTTTCATACAAATGGGCTCCACGGGATGCCTGTCTGGGGTATGGTGTATTCA